TCTTACTTTAAATGTTTCTATATCAGGATTGAGTTCTGGGTGGTGTTGTCATGTATGGTAATCTCAGGTTGTCCACTGTTGGTTCTCAGTCCAAAGAACAACCATTAGTATTTTTTGTAAAGTTGGTCTGGTCACTTACAAATTCCTTTAATTTCTGTTTACAGGAAACGTCCTCATCTTGCTGTCACATTTGAGGGATGGCTTTGCTGGGCATATGATTCTTGGTTGGCAATTTTCCTTTCAGAGTTTTGTATATGTCAACCCATTGGTTTCTTGCCTGCATGGCTTCTGTTGAGAAATCAGAGCTTAGACTTAGTGGTTCTCCTTGGTAGGTAACTTTTCATTTTTTTCCCAAGCTGCTCTCAGGATTCTTGTCTTTGATGTTGGAGAGCTTGATTATGATACGTCTTGATTTTCTTTGGGGATCTATCCTATGTGGAGTACATTTAACTTCTTGTATACTTATCTTCTCATCTTTCACGATATTAGGGAAGTTTTCTCCCAGCAACTCTTTGACAGTTCTCTGTGCTTTTTATTGTCTCTCCCTCTTCTGGAATTCCAATTACCCATAAGTTGCTCCTTGTTATGGTGTCCCATATAACTCTTACACTTCCTTCAGATTTTTTCATTCCTTCTTTCTGTTTTTCTTTTGTTGTTGTTAAGTGTTATCAAGTTGATTTCAACTCATAGTGACCCTATTGTATAGGGTTTCCGAGGAGTGGCTGGTGAGTTTGAACCACTGACCTTGTGGTTCAAAACCGACTTTGCAGTCCAGCGCATTAATCCACAGCACCACACCAGGACTCTGGCATACTATTATTGATTCATCTTCCTGCTCACTAATTCAGGTTTCCATTGCTTCACATCTATTCCTTTATCATTTCAATGCCTTGCCCATTTCTTAGATCTTAGTATTAATCTTCTGGATTTCTAATCACAGGTTAGTATTGTTTCAAATTTTGCATTTATTTTGTCTGTTCTTGTATTTTCCTGAGTTCTTCTAAAGTTTCTTTCAGTGTTCTTGCTTTTCTCAGTCTTTCTGTCAATCCTTTGAAGGTACCCAAATAACATTCTTTTGAATTTTTTATCAGTTAGTTTCATTACCTAAATGTTTTCTGTCCCTGCATCTTGGTCATTTGTTTGAGCTATTCTCTCTTATTTCTTCCTGTGAAATAAAATTGTCTGTTGTTTCTGGGGTATTGTAGGGTTGTTGTATTTGTATTTAATTGATGATTGTATGTGGGTGTGTTCTTAGACTCTTGCCAACTGTCCCCTCTGTGAGTAGTTAGAGAATGGAAGTGTGTGTACCCAGTTCTCGTTCACGGTTTGTATACTTCAGTTTAGGGTGAGTTTGGCTGGAGCTGGCTGCTATCTAATGGTAATCAAGTGGTGTCGGAGCTAGTGTTGGCTCTTTCCCAGTGGATGGAGCTGCAGAGAGCACACTTGTGGCAGAGCTCTGTGGGCAGGGTTCCTGTTCCTTTCCGGTGGGAAAAAGAAAACCCCTCACACGGACAAGGAACCAATCATACAAAGAGAATATAATAAAAAGAAAAAAATAAAAGCAGGCAACAAGCAGGAAAAAAACAATTATAGTAACTATAAAAGAGTGACAGAGAAATAGAGCGGTAGAAGAGAAAATAAAAGAAATTTTAAAAACACTTCAGAACAACTAAAACAAACAAACAGTGCAGCTCTTGGACCTGGAGAGGAGAAAACTCTGAGGTACTACTGCAAGCCAAGGAGCTCATGAGGTGTATGTGAGAAGGATGTGACAACAGAATTTCCTGGCCCTAGATGGAGTTCCTAACCATTCACCAAGCCCACAGATGCCCTTATGGTCCTAATAGACACGAAAATCCGCTCCATCAAGGGATCCAGGAACTACTTCCAGATTGAGTGCCCTTGATTGAACTGGGGTCAGGGCCTATTAGGACCATAGGACGACAGGGCAGCTGGAAGCAGGGTGACTGGTTAGATGCTGGTCTGGTGCCTCAGAGGATCTGTGGTCTGGAGCCTAGCCCACCTGAATCCAGGCACCAAAGCAGTGCAGCTGGCCCCTGCCTCACCCTGACTTGACTTCTAACTAAGTGACTCTGAACTCCCAGAGTTTGCCTGAGGATGGGTGCTGGCCACATCTGGAAATCCCACTTTCCTCTTTCTTATATATGCATCTTTGTTTTTAAGGGCCACTGAGGTGGTTCCGACTCATAGCAACCCTGTATAGCATTTCCAAGAAGCAACTGGTAGGTCTGAACTGCAGACCCAGTTCTTATCCTACAGAGCCACACCAGGACCCCATATATGCATCTAGTGTTAAAAGTTTCCTACCAGCACTACAGTAGATGTATCCCACAAATTTTTATATGAGCTATTTTCATTTTTATCTCACTTCAATATTTTTTTGTTTTTTTTCCTGGAGAATTAATTGCCCTATGAATTATTTAGACGTATGTTCAGTTTCCAAGTACTTGGAGATTTGCTTACCTTTCTTAGTGATTTTTAGTTTTATTTTACTAAGAACATACTCTTTGGTTTTGATGTTTTTTAAATTTAGAGTATTGTGTGTGTGTGTGTGTAAAATGGAATTCAAAGATAATGGAATTTTTCCATGACCTTTTTGAAGCACCCCTGGATACACAGTCTACTGGTGTCTTCATTGGTAATCAATCATATCAATTCAAGTAAAGTATAAAACCTTACCTCTCTTTTACTTATCTTGCTAACTGTTGTTGTTAAGTGCAATCAAATTGGTTCCAACTCACAGGGACACTGTCTAGGGTTTCCAAGGAGCAGCTGGTGGGTTTGTACTGCCTACCTTGTGGTTCATAGTTCAGTGCTGATCCTACGGCATCACACCAGGAGTCCTTCTTGCTTATAGTTGTCTTAAATATTTCCTTTACATGCATTTGGAATCACCACATCAATGTTAAAATTGTTTACTACAACCATTAAACCTACTTTAGAAAACTCAAAAAAAGAAAAATATGTAGCCATCTTTTGCTTACCATGTTCATTCTTGTTTCCTGGTATTCAAGGTTCTTTGATCACTTCCATGTAGAGAACTTACTTTAGCCATTCTTTTAGATTATGTCTGCTAGTTCCTTTGAGAATGTCTTGATTTCCCCTTTATTCCTGAGGGACATTTCATGGTTTGTGAGGAGAAATCTAGTCATTCTGATTGTTTTTCCCGTATAAGTAAGGTGGTTGTTATTTCTGGCTGCTTTCAATTTATTTTCTCTGTCTTTAATTTTCAGAAATTCAATTATGGTATGTCTTGCAATGGATTTCCTTGGATTTATTGTTCAGGATTTCTCTTTCCAGCATCCCATTATTTCTTCAAATCTGTTTTCAGCCTTTCTTTTTCTCATGCCCTTTTGTTACAGTATCACAGATCCCTATAGTTCCCACACCCTACAATCTATCTTCTCTTTGTAGTTTAAATTGGGTAATTTCCCTTCCATTATGCTGTTGTGCCTATCTCTGAGTTTCCTATTTTGGTTAATGCATGCTTTAGTTCTAGAGTTTCCCTTTGTTCTTCTTTTACATTCTGAAACCCAAACCCACTGCCACGGAGCTGATTCTGACTCACAGTGACCCTGTATATGGTTTCCAAGGCTGTAAATCTGTTACAGAAGCAGAAAGCCTTCACTTTCTACCATGGAGTGCTTATCCTACAGCGTCCCCAGGGCTCCTTTTAATTGAGACTGTGGATATTATGTAAAGTTTCCATTTTTGCCGACTTTCTCTGACACTACCATTTGTTGTTGTTAAGTGCCGTCGAGTTGGCTCCAATCCATAGCGACCCTGTATAGGGTTTCCGAGGAGCAGCTGGTGAGCTCAAACTGCTGCCCTTGCAGTTCTAACAGCTTTGCAGTCTGGCGCATTTATCCACAGCGCCACACCAGGACTCCTGATACTACCATAGTAGGGGAATATACCTTGTTACTGCCAGATGAACACAGATGCCTTCTGTTGGCTTCATGGGACAGGAAGTCCAGCTCCTCTTGGTCTCAAAGAACATGGCGGAGGTATCAGACACGTTCCCAGTCAGTGTGCTGAAAACCCTAGTCTATGTATGGCCTTTTCTGACACCATCCAGGCAGAGTGTGGGCTCCTTGTTATGGCTTCATGAGGTAGAAGTCTAGACTTACCACTCAGTCTCAGCTGGTATGGGTGAAGGGAGGCCACAGTGTTTTAGTTTTATATTTTGTTTGGCTGTTCCATCTGTATTAGCATGCTTTTGATGAGACGATTTTTTTTTTTTTTTCCTTTGGGTCTGTGCCACTTGGTATTTCCAGGTTGTTGGTTTCTTCACCTCCTAGTTGAGGTGTGCAAGGGGGCTTCAAAAAGTTAATGGAAAAAATCCACGATCTTTTAATTCCATGTTATCCACGAACTATATGAAGCTTCCTCATATGAGGGCCAAAGAAAACCCAGGAACTCACCACTGTGTCATGTCATTCCTTGACCCCTGAGGACCTTTACAGTTAAGATCTGCCTTCTCTTTCCTCTACAGTAGCTTATATTTTATATTTAATAACCAAAGTTTTAAGGAGCTCTGGTAGTGTAGTGGTTACGAATCGGGCTGCGAACCTTAAGGCCAGCAGTTCGAAACTACCAGCTGCTCCGCGGGAGAAAGATGAGGCTTTCTACTCCCGTAAAGATTTACACCCTCGGAAACCCTGTACAGGGTCGCTATGAGTTGGAAGCAACTCAACGGCACTTAACAACAACAACAACCAAAGTTTTATTTAAAATATTTAGAAGGAAGAATAGGGGAAAGTGCTTCTTCTCCATAGTCCTAGAATTGAAAGTTCCCATAGATACATGTTTTATCTACTTGAACAATTGTGTTAAATTTATAACCATTACTGGGGAAAATGTCGTATACTTTGTATACTCTGTGTTATTATTGTTCCAAGAGGATTGCTCAAAAATAACATTTTTATTTGATCTGTAATTCTTTGTTCACATTATTAATGAAATTTTTTTACCTCTAGGAAATAATGCAAAAGGTGTTCCAAACCTCCTGATCCGTGAACAGAGATTTGAGAAAGCCAACCAAGCTCATGTTTTCTCCTGATCAAGAAAATCACCCATCCAAAGCACCAGTAAAATATGGTGAACTCATTGTCTTAGGGTAAGGATTCTTTACCTGATATGACATAAAATTGAAAAAATACATTTAAAGTGTTTTTATTGAATTTATATAGTCTGCTTCCAAAAAGGATTAATATTACAAGATAATGTTACCAAATCAAGAAACTTTTCAAATTATAATGCTTATGCCGTCTCTTCTAATTGTTTAAATAGCCTCCTAGGAAAAGGGCAGCTTCCTAAACATGAAATGAAAAAGTTATTTGTCTAATGTCACGTAGCGATTTGTCTTCCCAGTCCCATCTTCCAGAAAAATTTGCCTCAGCAGACCTTACCAAAAGTCCCTTCCCCTATTTATTTATTGTTGTTGTTAAGTACTATCAAGTCAGGTCTGACTCATAGTGACCCCCCCACCCTCCGTCGGGTTTCCAAGGAGCAGCTGCTGAGTTCGAACCACTGGCTTTGCAGTTCGAACTAACCTTGAGGTTGAGTGCTTACCCTATGGCACATTGTCCTTTTTGCCCCCTGGAGGCAGCTGTTGACTTGTGTTTTGGGTTCACCTTTATGTACATCTTATAAAAGGGCTTTTACTAATTAAGCACATAGTAGCAATATGATGGCTATGCAGCCATGAACAACCTTGCTACTTGTTTGCTTCAAAAATAATGTTATCCATGTAACTCTCAGAGACACAGTCTGGCGACTGAGTCCGTTATCTCCACTTATTCCGTCTAAACTTGACATAACTGAAAACAGAAGTGCAGTGTCAATCTCTTAACTGGAGAGCTCAGAAATTACAAGTTGCAGAATGTACTTTCTCCCTGCTGTTTCCCTCCTGCCTAAAGAAGCAACTTTAGACATTGCAACATATTTTTGAGTCAGGTTGGTACAACTTCTTGTTTAAGTGAAAATGTGTTAATAGTTTGAGGGGATATAAGAAACTAGGGGATATGGTATTCTGATCTTGACTAAAAGTTAGAAACCCTAGATTCTAATGCTTATTCCAACACTGCCCACTATAGAACTACGGGCAAGCCACTTAACCATTTTGGACTTTGTTGTTGTTGTGAAGTGCCGTCGAGTCAGTTCCCACCCATAGCAGCCCTGTATAGCGTTTCCAAGGAGCAGCTGGTGAGCTTGAACCGCCAACCTTGCAGTTCAAACGGCTTTGCAGTCTGGCCCATTAGCCCACAGCGCCACACCAGGATTTTAGTTTTCTCTAAATGACTCTTGTTAAGTGCCGTCAAGTCAGTTCTGACCCATAGCAACTCTGTATACGATTTCCAAGAAGTGGCTGTTGTGTTTGAACCACCGACCTTGCGAGTAGTCCAGTGCATAGCCTACAGTGCCACACCAGGGCTCCATTTAGACAAAATTATATATATATATATATATATAAGACCCTTTGAGACTTAACACAGCTTGTCCTCTTAGAAACAGAGCTTAACAGGTCATAAGCTCAATACAGTAAATGCAGTATTATAACATTCATATGTAAAAGTCTGTATTTTTGTTGTTAATTACCATTGAGTTGGTTCCATAGTGACCCTGTATAGGGTTTCCAAGGAGCCGCTGGTGAACTTGAACCACCAACCTTGCAGTTCATACGGCTTTGCAGTCTGACGCACTAACCCACAGCATCACATCAGGACTCCAAAAGTCTATATTATTGTTGTTATTGTGAAGTTCTTTCGAGCCGGTTCCGACCCATAGTGACCCTGTATAGGGTTTTCGAGAAGCAGCTGGTGAACTTGAACCATATGGAACTCTCTAAATCCTATACATGGCCATTATGAGTCAGAACTGATTGACTGCACGTAACAACATCATCATCCTGGTGTGCCATTGTAGAGTAAGCACTGGACTGATTAACCACAGGGTCCGTGGTTCAAATCTAGCAGCTGCTCCTCAGAAGCCCTATACAAGGTTGTTATGAGTCTGAACCAACTCAGTGGCACTTCACAACAACAACATGAGTTGGAACTGACTTGACGACACACAACAATAGCAGTGTCAAGTTACAAATTCAAGTCACAGATTTCAAGATTAATGACAGCTTTTTAACTACTATTAAAAACTAAATTCATCATCTGAAGACTAGAGTTTACAATTCTGTTTTAAACTTCCTCTCCCAGTATAACAGTTTCTCACATAATCTTTAGCAGTAGTAATTGTTTCTGTGTCTGGCAGTTGGTGTCTTAAAATGCACATAATGCTGTTTTCCCAACCTTCTGGGAAGGATAAATGAAGCTGGACAAGGTTGCCCCTTCCATTCTGTTGCTACTGAAAGAGCTTTAAGGGTGGGGTGATGAAAAAAGTTTTGGAAATAATGGTGATGATTGCACAACCTTGTAACTGTAATTAATGCCACTAATAGTTAAAATGGCAAATTTTGCTACATTCATTTTCCTACAAAAAGAAAAGATAGAATAAAAAGAACTTTGAACTACGGGAACGCAATTTGGGGATAAGAGCCCAGATTCAGAAGAAGGAGGAGTGAGTCATTGGTCTGGGAGGATGGCAGTCAAGAACTCAAGGTGGGGCTGTTGTCAACATATGTCCGAGAATATAGTACAGTTCATGTATTAGCTATGGGCTCAACTCTGGCCTTTTAGTGAGAGCTAGCAAGTTTAGCAAGGCTTTCTCCAATGTAAATTAGTGTTTTGTTTTTTATCCGTTTAAAAAAAAAAAAAAAAAACACCTCTCCACAGTTTTAGAACATGATTCTTCTTTAAAACTGTCCCTATTCCTTGTCTCATTTCCCCCAGTTTAGCTAGTTCTATGGGCACTAACGATTTTGTTAGGGTAGGATAATGAGGAGATCAGGGGATGAATGAGGAGAGATTATTAAAATACTGCTTATACCACAGTGAAACCATAGTGGGGGAGGAGGGGCGGGGAGACACAAAACGACCTGGGTTAAATTCTGATTTTGCCAGCATCATATATAATGTGATTTTTAGAAAATAGCGTAACTTCCACTGAGCCTGTTCCCTAACTTGTGAAAATGAAGTCACTGGTGTCAGTCTTGTAGAGTTTGTGTGAGGATTGATTAAATAAAGATGGCACTTCACAACAACAGTGTGTGGTATGGATAGACTCCAGAAGTGACTGATACATAGGAAACACACAATTTTTAAAACATTTCTCCTAATTTTGTTCAGTTATTTCTTGTTTATCTTTCAGGCATATAGGAGAGGGCTTCAAAAGGCCATAGAAAATTTAAATGACAAAATAATGAGTTTTTCCACGAACTTTTTGAAGGCCCCTCATGTATGTTATCATGAAGAATGAGTGGTCATAAGGTCTGAAGAACAGAGTATGTTTACTACTTAGCAGACATCTCAGTTAGACCAGTTCTGCCAGCAGAATGGTGAATGTGTATGTGGACATCTAGGTAGCTAAGACTTAACCAAGAAGTCTAAAAATGCCTGATTTCAAAGGTTTAGATATCTAAAGTGTTTGTTTCACAATTAAAGCCAATTCTGTTTTGAACGATGCATACCGTGCTTTTAAAAGTAGTATTGTTGTTATGTGCCATCGAGTCGGTTCTGACCCATAGCGACCCTGTATAGGGTTTCCGAGGGTGTAAATCTTTACGGGAGTAGAAAGCCTCATCTTTCTCCCGCGGTGCAGCTGGTAGTTTCAAACCGCTGACCTTAAGATTCGCAGCCCGATTCGTAACCACTACGCTACCAGAGCACATGCAAAAAAAATTTTTTAAACAGTAAGTCAGCTATTCCATTAATCAGCTCTTGATTATCTTCAATAACAGAAGAAAAAAATATTGATAACTCAAAACTGTGTGTAATACAAAAGGTACTTCTTTGTGGCTTTGGAACCTGACCAGAAAGAATCTCATTTTGTTTCACACCCAGGCATCTGGTCTGGGAATCAGCAGTTGCTAAAAGGAATTTGAGATAATTACAGTGAGCCAATAGATAATTAATTGGGAATTTATTCCATCAGACAAAGTAAAACATTGTTTTATAATCCTGTTGTTCTTACAAGAGATCACCTAAACTTTTTCCTCCCCCATCAGGTATAATGGGTCTCTCCCAAATGGCGATAGAGGAAGGAGGAAAAGTAGGTTTGCTTTGTTTAAAAGGCCCAAGGCAAATGGGGTGAAGCCCAGCACTGTGCACATTGCTTGTACTCCTCAGGCTGCAAAGGTAAGAACAAAACAAAAGTGAAATTTCTTTGGAGAAATTGAAAGATTTGTATATGTTGTTTGTGTTCTCTATCATGCTCTTCACATTTCTATTTCAGAAATTCTCTTTTGTTGAAATTTGATACAAGATTTTTCAGACATAATATTTGAAGGGCTGCCATATGGAAGGGAAATCAAACTTTTTCTGTGTGACAAACCTGAATCAGGGAGTGCAAACTAAAAGAAAACATTCCTTTTCCTTATTTTAAAAAATAAAAAAAGTGGAGATTGGGCAAGGGCTTTATCTAGTATTTAAAATTGTTTGGCTGTCTGCCCTGGGATAATGGGAGTTCCACTCTATTAATAGAGGACAAGGTTGCCCAAGGAATGTGGTGTATACGATGTAGTCAGGAATCAAAAGTCTGTTTGAATGAGGTTTTTTGTTTTTTGTTTGTTTTTTAAACTAAAGGTCTGCCCTCTGCATGCTCTTGTTTTTATTTATTGTTGGTTTGAGTTTTGATCTTCGTAGCTTTTAGGACAGTACTTACACAAAGTGAACCTCAATAATTATTAAATTGAATCAGAGCTGTAAAGCAAATACCCAAGTCTACCTGCAATATGACTTCCCAACCCCCTGGCTTATTTAATGCTTCTAACCTCTCTTCCTTTTCCTAAGAAAATCTCAGAAGATGGGTCACCATTTCAGAACACTTGGGATTTTCCTAGAATGGGACGAGTTTTAGAGCTTTGTGTTTCCTGTGATTTATTTTCAATTTTATAACATACAGAATTGATACTGTGGTGAGCAAATAAGAAAAATTAAAGTCCTTTGGCTTGTCTATATTATTCTACCATCTGAAGTACATATTTGTAGATTAAATAAATCAGATGATAAAATTGGCATATGATGTTCTGTTTTAGGTCGCAGCTCTAGTCCATGAAGTTAGTTGGATTTTCTGCTTTGTTTTATATCCAATTTGTTGTCTAAAACAGAATCCGCAAGTCTTGACCAAGCCGCCTCTATTACTAATTGGGAACCAGAGAAGGTAGAAAAGGGTCGGTTCTTTAGGTGCTCCTTGCTGCTCCTTTGCAAAGAAAAGAGGTGCTAAGCAGGTGGTGGAAATGAACAGCTTGTTGATCCAATCTGAACAGCTTCTTACAGCTTTGTCCCATAGCTGTGCTCTTTAGCATTTTGGGTATGACAGGTCTTCATTGAATAATCTTGGTGCTCATCCACTAAATCCCATTTGAGCCCTCAAATCATTGTGACAGCACTTAATTTCTGAATGCCCTTTAGACAGCCAGTACTGCCTCTGGTTCAGAACTTCTATTCTAGGGCAAATGTCTCTAATCTCTGCCTTTGTAATATCCGATTCTGTAAATTTCCTCCATTTTTGCTTTGTCATACTCCTCTTCTTTTTTGTCATTATCTCCTTTTCATTTTTATCGGCTCTTTCCTCCTTCACTTATGGAAGAAAGTATCAGTGATGTCATGAAGAAAACAAATTGTTTTCAATCTGGCACTCATCTGGGTTTAGTAGTTCAAGTCTGCCTTCCAAGTCAGTGAGACCCAAAGTTAATATTGTCACAGTCCTAATTTTCAATCTAAAAACCAGAATTACAAACTCAAAGTACTCAAAAATTGGTGGTTAAAATCTGTAAGGTCATTAAGAATAAGCATCTAAAATACTGAGCACTTATTTGGAAAATCAGTAATTACAGGGTTTAAAACCTATAAAACAATTATATAATGTTTGTGCATAACATAAATACAAGGGGTCTTCAAAAAATCCATGGAAAGGTTAAAAGATAATGGACTTTTCCAGCAACTCTTTGAAATCCCTCGTGGGTAAGACTAGCACTGTATTCTGGAAAAGAGATCCCTCTATGGAGGAAGGAAGATAGGGAAGGAAGACTGTGGGATACTCTATGATTGTAGCTGCAGAATTTAGTTTCTTAAAAAGGAAGATAAGAAGCAAAAGTGACATTGATAAAACTGTGAGTGGTTGATACCCAGTATTCATTTTCTTTATAGATTAGAAATTTTCACAACCTTAATTAATCTTCCAAGTTTTGTTCCAGACATTATCTATTCAAGTAAAATTTTATAATCCCTAAATTCTAATTAGAACACATTTTTCATTTAGCCTGTTTGCTGTATGTATATAACCACTGTGTGCCTTCATATCTATTTTCCTTTTACGTAACCTGTTTCCATATCCTTTGTGCAATGACTAGGTTTTCCCCCCTCTGATAATTAACCTCAGCTCGTGTATATACATAAAAGACATCTGAAAACAAAACTGAAAAGGTCTTTCTAGCGATGTTTTTAGTTTGGTATACATCAGAAGTACAGTCATAGCTCGATTTCCATTTTCGTTTTTGTCGTGTTTATTCACTCTGTGAACACCTTTTGTTTCTAATCTAGGACATGGCAAATACTTGTCATCTGTATAATCACAAAACGTTAAGGAAATAGTTGACTCTACTTACTGGTTAACCTTATAACTCTTCGAAGGACTTTGAAAATAAGATTTATCTTGCAAGGCTTTTTGTCTTCTCCCTATCAAAGCAGCACTGAGTATTGTTTTCATGTTTTATGTGGGGTTTCATTTTGATTACTTTGTAAGTTAAAGCATTTATACAGCAGACCCAGACTTTACTGCATTTTCTATGAAATACCTTATAATTGCTTCAAAGTGTTCCTATCCACACCACTCAGTCTAATTGTTTTGTCACAATCTAGGTTGTGCTCAATTTTAAAATGCTCCAATTTTAATGGCCTGCATGCTAATTTTTACTGTTAATCTTTTCTTTCTTAGGCAATAAGCAACAAGGACCAGCATAGCATATCATATACCTTATCTCGGGCCCAGACAGTGGTGGTTGAGTATACTCATGACAGCAACACTGATATGTTTCAGGTATTATAACATCTGAATTTTGTTTTGTTTTTCTTAATGGAAATAGCTGCCCCTTTTGAATTTTGCCCAATGATTCTGATTATTGATCCTTAATCCTTAATCCAGACCTTAAGGAGCTCTGGTAGCGTAGTGGTTACAAATCGGGCTGCGAACCTTAAGGTCGGCGGTTCGAAACAACCAGCTGCTCCGCGGGAGAAAGATGAGGCTTTCTACTCCCGTAAAGATTTACACCCTCGGAAACCCTATACAGGGTCGCTATGGGTCAGAACCGACTCGATGGCACATAACAACAACAACAACAATCCAGACCTTGACTACGCAAGCCTTTTGTTCTAGGAAATATATTTAGATTCAAAGATCTGAGACCATTTTCTTTTGATAAAATTATTCTAAAAATAAATACAAGCGACATCCAGTCTAGTTACATGTGTTAACCAGCCAGTTTTCACCTAAAACTAAATACTTTATACTTGATGGAAGAATGAAAACACTAAAGAATTTTTATCTGTAAGTGTGCTGATGTAGAAACTCTTGAGGTTCAATTATGCAAAGAATGCCTTTTTGAGAGTCATCATTTTTGTGCAAGGTCATTATTTTGCCTCAGCATTCACATTCTGCAATTTCGGTATACTACTTGATAATAAGGGAGCACTTTGACTCCATACAATAAGCACTGGACTGTAAATCACAAAGTCCATGGTTCGAGCCTTCCAGCTGCTATTCAGGAGAAAGATGATGCTTTCTGCTTCTGCAAAGATTTAAAGCCCCAGAAACCCTGGACAGGGTTGCTATGAGTCAGGGTTGCTATGAGTCAGAACCGACTCGACAGCACTTAACAAGAACTTGATAACAAATACATTAATGCACTGATCGTTTTTAAATGTTTGCTTTAAAACTCAGATACTGCTGTCATCTACTCCACTGATTTCCTTTTCAACTTGCATCTTTCCAAATGAAATTAATTTATTTACTAGCTACCACAGCGTAGTGGTTATGAATCAGGCTGCAAACCGCAAAGTCAGCAGTTCGAAACTACCAGCTGCTCTGCGGGAGAAAGATGAGGCTTTCTGCTCCTGTAAAGATTTACAGTCTCGGAAACCCTGTACAGGGTCGCTATGGGTCAGAACCTACTCAACAGCAATTAACAACAACAACCTCTGAAAATACTTTGAATTTATTGACCCCTCACCCATGTAGAACTCTTATCTAGGAACTTTGTTGTTCTGCAATATGGTCAAGAACCAGGAAGGAAGGAAACAAAAGGACATCCAAAGAGATAAAATAAATACCCATGCAGTGAAGCTCTTTGTGCTCCCAGGAGAATGCGTTAGGCTCTCAGCAAAAATCTTTTTAAACACTCTTCTTTAAGTTTTGTTACTTTCTTTACCCACAGCAGAGTAAGAGTAGCTAGTTAAAGGTGGAGTATGCTGTTAGAGGCAAACTAGCCCAGCAGCAAGAAGGCAAAGTGGCGACCAGACAAAAAAGACATAAGACAATGTGTGACCGATACTTAAGAGCCTTTGAAGCATGGCTCTGTAAGCCCTTACCCTAACTAACATGAGGATCAACAGACTTGTACATACCTCTGTAGCACCTGATGGGTGGGGGTGCATGTAACTCTGGTTTTTACTCATTACAGAAAAAGATTATTTGCGAAAGTATTATGAGAAAAAGTGTTCTATGAACACTTTTTAAAATTAAATCAGGTGACATTCTAGAATATCTCACTGGCTTTTGTTTCTGGTTTGTGCCCTGACCCCATCAGTCTGGATCAATAGAAGATTTACCTAGAAGCCACTCTGTTCCCATTTAATGCAATTTTTGGTGTTGTTTTTTACGTTTTATTGTGAATCAGGTGAAGGTTTTAGAACAGGTTCATTTTCCACTCAGCAGTTCTTCATACACGTTTTGTTTTGTGTAATGGATTGCAGTTGTCACAATGTAGCATTCACTCTTCCTCCCTTCCTAACACTTCGGCACTTTGTATTTGGGTTAAGTGCTACCTTTATGGTCTGAAATGGTTTATTATTCTGAGATGTGTGGTCCTCATTCATGTTACTGTTCCCCTTATAGACCTATCTTGTATGACAGAGTCCTGGTGTGGATAGGATAAGCACTGGACCGCAAGGTCCACTTAAGCCACAGGTAGTAGTTCAAACTCACCAGCCGCTCCTTGGAAACCCTGTGCAGAGTCACTGTGAGTCAGAACCGACTCGATGGCACTTAACAACAACATAGCACCTGAAGATGGAGGTGGTACTGCAAATGAGATCTTAACATAAATGGTATTCATAGTGTAATGTTCTGGAGTCATCAGTATACTGATATGATATATCGGTATATTCTGTTAAGAAAGAGTAAAAATATTTCTATCTGAAAGGGTTAAAATAAAAATCAGCAGCCATCTAGAAATCTCAGCTATCCTAAGCTGTCAATTCCCAGAGTGTTTCATATATTCTCAGTCAAAAATTCCCACATAATTCTATGCTCTTAAACTGATGAGTGCATCAGAGACTGTCTGACATAGTCTCTGTCAAAGGTTTAGATGCCCCCCGAGTTAAGTTTAAGAAGGGTGAGCTCTAGAAATTTCAGAGGTTTAATGTTCCTTTCTTGGATGGATTTTTCACTGTGTTCCTTTGAATAGGTTTATATATGTTTCTTTTTCCCTTAGATTGGTCGGTCAACTGAAAGCCCCATTGATTTTGTAGTAACTGACACAGTGCCTGGAAGTCAAAGTAATTCTGATACACAGTCAGTGCAAAGCACCATATCAAGATTTGCTTGTAGAATCATATGTGAACGGAATCCCCCCTTTACAGCACGGATTTATGCTGCAGGATTTGACTCATCAAAAAACATCTTCCTTGGGGTAAAAACTTTTTTCCTAAATGCTGTATCATTTTATACCAGCTTTTAATGAAAAACAAATGAAAGCTTACCGCTATTACTCCTAGGAGAAGGCAGCCAAATGGAAGACATCAGATGGGCAGATGGATGGCTTGACGACCAATGGAGTTCTTGTTATGCATCCACGCAATGGGTTCACAGAAGACTCCAAGCCTGGAATATGGAGAGAAATATCAGTGTGTGGAAATGTATTCAGCCTCCGTGAAACCAGATCAGCACAGCAGAGGGGGAAAATGGTGAGTCCTGAGACATTCAACTAAACACTTGCTGCTGAGCATATACAAGTTGGGCTGGGTGCAAATTAAATATCACTCTATATTTTCTACTTGTGTTATACACATCTTTGGCCATGATCTATATTTACCTCCTTGAAAATGTTAAAATTACTGATTAGCCAAGTACTTAAATCATAAATCCATCTCTACTATGGATTTATGCAAATCTGAAAAGAGGTGTTTTACTGCTTATATATATACTCCTGATTCTCACACTTAGCTTTTATACGTCTGAAAGATTTGGCAACACTCATAGGAAATCCAGTAAACAGCATTAAGGACCAAAACTCTTAAGTAAAACTCGCAAATGCTGTAGTGAATTTTTGTTGTTTTCTTTCTGCTCTAGGTGGAAATTGAAACCAATCAGTTACAAGACGGCTCGTTAATTGACCTGTGTGGTGCGACGTTGCTGTGGCGTACTGCAGAAGGCCTGTCTCACACTCCCACAGTGAAGCATTTAGAAGCTTTAAGACAAGAAATCAATGCAGCCCGACCTCAGTGCCCTGTAGGGTTCAACACACTAGCGTTTCCTAGTATGAAGAGGAAAGATGTGGTCGATGAAAAACAGCCCTGGGTCTATCTAAACTGTGGCCACGTGCATGGCTATCATAACTGGGGAAACAAAGAAGAACGTGACGGAAAAGATCGTGAATGTCCCATGTGTAGGTCCGTTGGTCCTTATGTCCCTCTGTGGCTTGGATGTGAAGCTGGATTTTACGTGGACGCCGGCCCTCCAACCCATGCGTTTAGCCCGTGTGGGCATGTGTGTTCAGAAAAGACAACTGCCTACTGGTCCCAGATCCCACTTCCTCATGGTACTCATACTTTTCATGCAGCCTGTCCCTTTTGTGCACATCAGTTGGCTGGTGAACAAGGCTACATCAGACTTATTTTCCAAGGACCTCTAGACTAACAGACAGTTGTCCTTCAGGACTCCATTATAAATTTATAAGCTAAGAGATTTGGGATTTCCAACCTGTTGTCCACATCACAGTTTCTCTGCTCTGATCATTTGCATTAAGATGAAGAGCTTTTCTAAACGTTTATAATAGTAGCAATTTCTGAACAAAAATCTGGGAAACTCAAGCAGAGGAATTTCTGAAAGTACCAGAATTCTAAGTCCTGAGTTTTGAAAATCTATTTTGAGGAAAAAAAGACATAGTCTCAAATTGATGCCTTCGTTTTCGTGTTTTTTGAATCACCCATTCTCAGCGCTCCGTACTTGTTTTGTATGGCTGAGGGTCCTGTTGGTTCAAACTATGTTAATTTACAGTTTGTTGCAGACATTGTAAAATACAACAACATGTATATTAACTTCTTTTCTATTTATCTTTATTCTAGAAATACCGTAGAATGTTCTTGGTCTAGTGGCATGATAGCAGCGGTGTCACATCCTTGGTGTGAATGGTAGCTTAGCGAACGAAATCAAGGATTTGCCAGGTTAGAAAGAAGAACAAGAGAGCCTCTCCCCACCACCTAAACATTCATCTGAACATGAATCTGGTAGATTAGGATACTTTGTAAAACCGAATTCATATTAATTACCCATGGTGTAAGATGTGTTTGTTTTTAACCACGTTGAAGATAATCAGGAAAGATTTTTTTTTTTCCTTGATATTTCTCTTGAGTGTAGTACTATAACAAAAATTAATGCTAAGAAACATTTTATATGCTCCTTTGAATATGCAATTTAATCTAGATTATCTATTTTTCTCCCATGATTACTAATCTCTTTTTAGTATCAGCAATATTTGGCAAGTTTATTTTTTAGATATAAACTGTGGTTCATCTGCTCACTATTTGTAGAAAAAAAGAAAATTCATTCCCTTGATAAAAAGCATAAATTAACACTTGAAAGGAGTGTGACTTGATTTGTTTTGAGAAAATGAAATGCTTAATTAATTAATTTTTCTATATTTGGCCTTCTCCTGGGCATTAGAAAATTGAGATCGAGAAGGTTGAGTGACAGCCCTTTTTTGTAAATGCAGCAGACCAGCCTTAACATGGGTGTGAATCCTGAGGAGAGTTACTATAGTGTGACTGAAGTTTGGCTTGTAGACCAGCCCCATAACAGCAGAGTGGGGAGACATCTTGCATGGTCTGCTTAGTCTCTAAGTCCAGTAATCCCTTTGTTTGCAGAAGCAAGAAAGGCTTTTCCTCCGTCCCCACACGTTTTTGTAATGTACACAAGAAAACTATACACAGTTGCACTACATCAAACCCTTTTGCGATACTTGTAGAAATTAGTGAACTTTTAAAATAGAAGGCTCATTTTTTAATCTTTTGTTTTCCTTTAGTTCAAAAAGTTGTAGAATACTTCATTGACAGTAGCAAATTTATGTATGTGATAGCGTAGCTTTAATTTATCCGAGTATGCAGTTCTGAATTTTCTTTTGTTTTTTTGTTTTTTTTTTAATTTTTCTTTTTAGAAGCCATGAACTATTTTATTTTTCTTCAGCTGTCAAAACTTTCCTCGTTTTTAAAAATGATCATTTGGGTTCACTCAGGAAATGCATGTCAGGAAACTTGTATTATAAGTTTATTGTTGTTATGTATCAGTAACTGCTGTTACCCCTTTTTCAAAGAAATATAATTGATTTTGAAGTTTTCTAGATTGTCACATGCCTTGTGACTAATGCAAGGAAATCAGTCCTGTGTTGTATTTGTTCTAATCATTTCTATTCAGGCTATATATTGTAGCTAATTTTTATTTGCAATTAATTTATTCAAACTAAGTAAATACTTTTCAAAACAGATTCTCGAGTTTGTCTCTGAGTTCATTTGTGCATAACTGAGAGTGGGAAACCAGAAGTGAAAACTTGTGCACAGGTCTACCCATCCTCCAAACATAAGCAGGTGAACTCACTGAAGAGTTTGCGTTTAAGGAGCCTCTGGAGCAGCTCTGGTTCTCTGGGGAAAGTGTCTCTTACTGGGTCATAGAGGGACTTTGCTTCGTGGCTGAGTAGTTGAGGCATTTTCTAAGCTAAGTCCTGCTACCGAGTTGTTTCTTTGAACATTTGCATGCTAGTCTATTGAAATATTAAGTAGTGCCATCAAAGGTTCATGCTCTGCCCAAAGCGCTTGAGTTTCTTCCTGTATCAGTTTTGGAGAAAATCTGGGTCATTTTCTATCAAATTCAAGTTTGGCAATTTAAGTCATTAGTCAAATGTTTTTTGTGTTCAAACTTTTTGATTATGAGCTTTGTCCTTTTGCCAGTGCCTAATGGAAGACAAGAGTCCTAGTGTGGCGCTGTGGGTTAATGTGCCAAACTGCAAAGCCATTTGAACTGCAAGGTCGGTGGTTCAAGCTCACCACCTGCTCCTCGGAAACCCTATACAGGGTCACTATCGACTCGACGGCCCTTAACAACAATAACAATGGAAGAGACACTGCTTATTCAGTTGTATTTAAAGCATGTCAGTTTTCAGGCCTAGGAGAAGAGGTTGTATTTAGGTCTCCTAAATGCACTGATTTCAAGAAAGTTAATCTTTATGACAACTCATTATCAAAAAGATCTTAATGTTTAAAGTTTCCTTAATTTGAACAAAAGAATTTCCCTTCATCTGCAATTGTAGGTCATGAAGGAAAGACCAGGTAGCTAGCCAGAACTAGGTTATCTTCTCACAGCTGTAACTGTTTACTTCCCTCTTAAGAAAAGTCTCCTGTTGTACATGTTGTGGTTGTTGGTAGGTGCCATATTGACAAGTCTGACTCACAGTGATCCTATAGGACAGAGTAGAACTTACTCCATTAGGGTTTCTGAGGCTGTACACAGAAAGCAGGGTCAAACCATTTGCTGTCAAGTCATGTCTGACTCACGGTAAACCCCATGTGTAGAATGGACTAGAACTCTGCTCCGTAAGGTTTTCACTGACTGATTTTTTTGGAAGCATCACCAGGTCTATCTTCCAAAGTGCATCTGGGAGGACACAAACTGCCAACCTTTGTTAGCAATATAAATCAGGGTAGTGTACCACAACCATGGATTCCATTCCGACTCATAGCCACCCTGTATAGGGTTTCCGAGGCTGTAAATTTACTAGAGCAGAAAGCCTCTTTTTTGCTCCCAAGGAGCACCTGGTAGATTTGAACTGCTGAGCTTGAGATTAACAGTGCATCACATAACCCACTACGTTACTAGAGCTTCTTTTAAAGCAGGATGGGAATAAATGAGAACAATCTAAATAATCCTTCCATCTAACATTTGAGTGTTCCCATTACACTTACCCCTCAAGAAACATGTGATGACTACCTGGCAGAGATTTCCATCCAATAGTCGTTAAATTTATAGGATAAATATAATTCTAACCATTTGGCCCCTCATCTTGTACTGTCCCACTTTAGAGTATATAATTCATTGTGTTCTCTGTATGTGCTCAGAGTTAACGCGGTAACAAATCAGCCTTGAAATACTACATATGAGCTACAGACAGTCCAGGAGTTGCTGAGGGCTGATACACACACAGCCCGGAGTTGCAGAACAACACCTCCCGCAAAGTCTATAAGCACAAATGGTTCATAATACAAACGGATGGTACTTTACATTGCACATCAAAACATTGTTACTCTATTACTTTAAAGATGTTTTCGTGCATTTAATGTTTTTATGCATAATGCATAGAAAGGTTCACTAAGACAATTGATTTTTGTCTGCTTGTCCCGCTCCACAATCCCCGTTCAGGCCTTGTTTCTAGTTGTAAACAGTTTAGGGCTGGCTGTGGCCATTTGGTTTTAATTGGAAACTGTCTCTTTAAATTTTGAGGAGATCTGTGCGCATGCGTAGTAGAACCCTCTGAGGGTGGGGCTGGGTGCCCACTAGCTCAGGCACCCCTATAGTCACCAGGATGGAGGTGATCAGACAGCAAGGGACCGATGAACAACTACCCAAAGAAAAGAATGTTCACACCTTTATCTCTGCGGTTCTGCCAGAAGTCTGTGGCTGCTCCGAGCCTTCCCCCGCTTGGTCTCACCCAAGATGGTGGCTCCTGGAGCAGGTAAGCGTCTCAGACTAGAAAGCAATGGTTTTCTTGCTTCTGCCACAAATTCCCCTAGCTGTAAGCCTTCCAACCTTCTAAATAGTCCTATAATTTATATGTGGTTCAGAGTTCTGGGACCATCCCCGGAGCCTGCTTGGTCGGGTAGTCTGTGTTTGTTTACTGCACTTTACTGCACTTTACTGCACTTCCACCCGATCCGCCATCTTGTTTGTTCTCTTCTCATTCTTATAACTTATAACTCATTCTTATAACAGGTATTTGAATACCCATTATATACCAGGTTCTGTTCTAAACCTAATGTGATTTGTTGTTGTTAAGTGCCATCGAGTCAGTTCTGACTCATATCAACCCTGTATAGGGTTTCCAAGGAGTGGCTGGTGGGTTTGAACCACGAACTTTGCAGTTCAAACTGACTGTGCAGTCTAGGGCTTATTCTACAGCAGCACCACACTAGGACTCCTAGGTGGTTTAGTGGGGAAGAGTCCCTACCTTCAAGGGTTTTCTAGTCTTCTGGGGAAGATAGAAAAGAATAAGGCATGAGATACAACATGTCAGATAGTAAAGAGTTCAGAGTTGGGATAGAATAGAAAAAGGGGATACATAATTTTAGGCCAGGGAGGGCGCTTGCAATAGCAAATAGGAGGGCCAGAGAAAGCTCATGGAAGTGGCATCTCAATAAAGATCTGCAAGAAGTGGCTACTTAGGAGAAGAGCATTCCAGGCAAAGCAAACAGCAATTTCAATGGCCCTGAAATAGAAGCATTCCTGGAATGTTTGTGGAAGAGCAGTTTGACCAGTGTGACTAAGTGGTTTGAAAAATAGAAGAGTAGCAGGTAAAGGGAATGTATATGAAACAAGATCTTGGAGAGCCACATGAGAAAGTTGACTTTTCTTCTGAGTGAAATGGGGAACTATTTTGAGGGTTTTGAGCAGGGAGTGACATGTAATTTAAAAGATCCAAACAGACAAGAGTCTCAGTGTGGTGCGGTAGGATAAGCATTGGATTGCTAACCAAGAGGTTGGCAGTTCAAACACACCAGCCGCTCTTAGAAACCCTATACAGAGTCTCTTAAGAGTCATAACCAACTCCCTGGCACCCAACAACAAATAAACTGAAGTGAGAGCAGGCAGGCTGTCTAGTTAGAAGGCTGTTACGATAATCCTGTGGGGAGTGGGGGTGGCTTGGGTCACTTTAGTGGCAGTGGGGGCGAGAGTAGTGATCAGATTCTAGAAATGTTTTGAAGTTCAAACATAGTAATTGCTGGCAGATCAGATGTGGGTTGTGAAGAAGTAATCAGGGATGACTCAGCTCAGTTAGCCTTAGCAACTGATGGAAGAAATTGCCATTTACTGATAGGGGAAGATTACAGAGAAACAGGTTATGGGGAAGGAAGGAGGCTATGGGATGGCAAACTCAAGTCTCATACTAATGAACCTAATACCTGTTAGACAACTATATGCCAAAGGTAAGATGCCTCTACCTTTTGAAAATAAAAATTGCTGTCAAAGTTCTCAAAAGTGTTTCAGTCAGTGTTGACCATATACCTACCCCATGCTAGCTTAGAAACAAACATTTTTCCTAATTGATGGCAAATTTCCTTTAATTGAAACTGAGAGTTAGGACAGCTCTCATACTTCCCTCTTTGCTTTGGCTACTCTCAGAGGAAATGAAGTTCTGCTTTCAACTGCATTAACTTCCTTTTGTCAGTGTGTTCTAATAAAGCTTTTCTTTCTCCTTTTTACTTGGTTCGTGCCTTTTAAAAAAAAAAAATGCTCAGTTTCACTGGATCTTAAATTTCTGTTGCTTCAAATCCTTTTGGCAATGGCAAAGTACAAGCTTTATTAATTTTAATATTCAAATGCTTATGGGAAACAATTCTTGAACCGCTTTTTGTAAGTCCAGATTTATACCCAGCTCCACTGCCAACTCGACGGCACTTAACAGCAACAACAACAACCACTGCCAAAAGAACCAACAGATCTGTGTTGGAAGAAGTGCAGCCAGAGTGCTCCTTGGAGGCCAAGATGGCTAAACTTCATCTCTCATACTTCAGACATATTGTCAGGAGGGACCAGTCACTGGAGGAAGATATCATGTTTGGTAAGGTGGAGAGAGAAAAAGAGGAAGTTCCCCAACGAGATGGATTGGCCAAGTGGCAGCGTCGATGGACTCAAACATGGCAATAGTCAGTGAGGTTGGCCCAGGATTGGGCAGTGTTTTGTTCTGCTGTGCATAAGGTCACTATGGGTTGGTACCAACTCGGTGGCACCTAACAACAACAATCACCACTGAAGGAGATTGCCTTGTCAGCAAAAATAAAATAAGATTTTTGAAGTTACAGTCACGGTGTGGCTGTGGCATTGTGGGTTGCTAATGCTCCAGACTGCAAAGCCGTTTAAACTGCAAGGCTGGTGGTTCAAGCTCACCAGCTGCTCCTCCGAAACCCTATACAGGGTTGCTATGGGTTGGAATTGACTCAACAGCACTTCACAACAACAATAACCAATCCTTGTAAAGTATCCTTTCTCAACCTTGTGTTAGATGATACAATGGAAATGCTGGTTTCTTTAGACTGACATTAAATTGTAAACCCAGCTGTGTACAGGATTAAGCCACAGCATAAAGTAGATGACAGGCAGATCATAAGATGTCCCAGTGGATTAAGTGTTGGACTGCTAACCCACCATCTGCTCTTCAGGAGAAAAATGAGGATGTCTGCTCCCTTAAAGACTTGACCGTCTTGGAGACCCTAAGGCGCAGTTCTCTGTTCTGTAGGGTCACTGGGAGTCAGAATCCACTGGGAAACAGGGGTCCTAGTGTGGCTCTGTAGGATAAACATTCAACTGCTAACCACAGGTCACAGCCTTGTGACTAATGCAAGGAAAACCGATTCACCAACACTTAATATTTGAGTGTTTGCCTTGTGTCCCACATTCTTCTAAATAAACCTGTTAAGATGAGAAAC